TCGGCCATTGTTCTATAAACGTAGAAATAAAGTTTATTTAAGCTGATTATTTTTACATGAATTTTCAAAATGTTTTTAAACAAACAGATTTATCATTATTGCTGCCGCTGTTGCTGCTTTTGATTTTTTTTAAATTAATATATAAAGCCAATATATGTTTGTTTAGAAAATACACATGAGAAAAAAAGAATAAACTGTCATGACATCATTACTTCAAAATTATCAGTTAACTTTCCAGGGCCTTTTCTATGAATCCACAGGCTTTATTTACTTTTACAGAAATGCAATAATTATGTATATTCTCACTGTAAACAGCTTTTTATAAAAGCTAGCTCACACGTTCCCATCACAATATATCCATATTACAATATATCATTGTTAAAAGATTACAAGAATTCAAGTGTATGAGTATACCTTAATATAACCAATTTGATAGGTATTTATTTTCCTTTTAAAATGTCTTTTCATAGGCACCCTTAAATATTTCCTAGAAGTAGAAAACTGCCAGTTTATAAACACACCATCAAAGTTTCCATTCATCCATTTAACAAATTAGGACTGATTTTACACCAGGCACTATTCTGGATACTTGGGAATCCAACAGTTGAAAAAAAAAGAAATTAAAAAACCTCTCCCTTGTGGTGCTTACACAGTAGTATAAGAGAGGGCCCATTTCCCTGAACTCATCTTTGGAGCTTTAAAAATATTTGTTGGGGAAAAAATAGTTATTTTAATGTGTTACTGCTAAAATTGATTATTTTTATAATTGCTTACTGGTTATTTGTACTTAGTGATCACCTTTTTTTTCCCCTTTGATTGCATCTTCCAACCAACACCTGTGCATGCTAGTATAAGGCAATAATTTTCACAGGAAAGAAGAGTTATTTACAAATTGTAGGGCTAATTATAAATATTTCTTATGGTAATTTAAACCTTTTAAGGTAGAAGTTGACCTTTAAAATAATAATCTGCAAATTTCCTTTTTAAAAATTCACCAAGTTGAATGATCTAAAAGATATAAAGACTGCATATGAATCACATGATTTTAAAAAAAGAACCAGTCTGGTATTCATTTTTAATTCTGTGTGTACACTTAAAAAAGCTGACATTTTGAAGCTAGGAATCTTTTAGTTAGGAATACCAATTATTTTTTCCCAAAACTGCTTCACCTACAGAACAAGCTAAGCCTTCTTAAATTCCCAAGTGCATTTTCATTCCAGTTATAGTTTATCATTTCTATCTTTTGTGAATAGAAAGGCACTGGGAGAAAATCATTCTGTAGAACATAGTCTTCCCAGAGCAGTGTCTACTAAACTCAAAAAATACTACTAGATATTTGCAGTTTAGAAGAACTTGTTTTGCAGATGGTGGTGGTGACAACTTCTTCTCCGACCCCTGGAGCTCTCGTTAGCCACTGGTCAGCAGTGGAGACGTGAAGCACCCTTCAGAGGCTGTTGGTTTGCCCAGTGATGGTCTCTCTTCCAGTCCTTGACCCAGAGCCTCCGTTTCACCAGCAATCCTACAGGTGCTGCCGAGAGTCTGGTACAGGGCTGGTAAGACATGAGAGAGGCTGCTGCGATTTAGACATATTTCCTGTCTTTGCCCACATTTTCTCTGAAAGAGCTAATGAATTTAAAGTGCCGAGGAATGCGTTGCAGGGCACACTGGAGGCATTCAGAATGCTCCTTGCCTTTCCTGTGCCTTCGTGCTAGCTCCCATTTGTTGTGTGCTGTGCGCCAGGAATCAGAGAAGTCTTTTAAATCTCATTAAAGTCCTCTAAGGTGGTGCTGTGACTTTCCCCATTTTACACATAGGGGAATGAACCCCCGAAGAGGTCACATAATTTGTCTAGGTCATCTAGTTAAAATAACAGCACCTAAGAATTCTGAAACACAACTCCTTTGCTTCTGCCGTGCGTGGGTGGGCTGCATCTTTGTACAACTCCACAGAAAAGACTGAAAATCTAGAAATTTATTTTTCTCTTGGTTACATACAGCTACTTGGATTTTCCTAAACCTCTGTACCCCTCTCTGTAGCCCACATTACAGACACCTGGTTGATCCTGCTGGCTGCCCAGAGATACATTGGGAGGGATTGCATTCTGATGCTGAAATGAAAAGAACCCGTAAGAAAAGCCTGTGGTGGCAATTTACATCAAAAACTGGATCTCAAAGGTCCTTTACTGGTTTTAAGGGCTGAGTTGTATTCCTACCCAACCAAATTCATATGTTGATGGCCTAACTCCCAGTCTCTCAGAATATGACTGTAATTGGAGATGGGGCCTTTAAAGAGGTAATTAAGGTAAAATAAAGTCATTAGAGTGGGCCCTAATCCAGTGTGACTGATGTCCTTATAAGTAGAGGGCATTAGGACTCAAACACACATAGAAGAAAGGCCACGTGGAGGCACAGGGAAGACAGCCGCCTACAAGTCAAGCAGAGATGTCGTCAGGAGAAAACGACCATGCCAGTATCTTGATCTTGGACGTCTAGCCTCCAGAATCACGAGAAAATAAATTTCTGTTGTTTAAGTCGCCCAGTCTGTGGTGCTTTGTCATGGCAGCCCTAGCGAGCTAATACAAATGGGGTTGCATAATTACTAGACTCTGAAATTAAGAGCCTTCCTGATTATTCAAAGTTTACTTTTAAAACTCAGAAATCTGGGCCAGAAAATCAAACAGAAATAGTTAAGGTCAAATCTGGTAGGAAGAATTTCAAGTGATTTCACAAATCATTTTCTCGTACTTGGATTTTATGGCCCCAAATGGAACTTGACTGGGGCATTGACATCTTCTGTTATTCAGCTGAGCCTGATGATACTTACAATAACAATATTTGATCTGAAGGCGAATTCTGAAGGATTTCTTCTCACAGCTACGTGAATACACTTATCGTGGGAAGAGTAAAGCTTTGCAGAGTCTCAGCAAATTCACTGTGGTTGGACAGATGCAGTAGTGCCTGAGAATTGATGGCCGTGACTGCTGTTAAAAACAGAAGAAAGTATATGCATGACTAATGGAAAGAGAAATCTCAACAGAAAGAGAGAGAGAGAGAAAAGAAAAAAAAACCTAAAGAACAAATTAAACCTTATCCAAAGACATTAAAAAGAATTGTTTCTAACAAAAGTCCCTTTGACTTTCAATTCAATAAATATTTTTAAGATGCATGAAGAGTACTGTGGGGGAAATTAGAATTTAGAAATTAACCTTGACTCTGACCTCAAATACTTCTTGATATGATATGAGACAAAAGACACAGACACAAATAGCCATAATTTCATGTAGTCTTTGATAAAATCAGTAATGGAAAAAAATATATAATGAAATCACAAAGGACAGAGAAGGTCACTCGGGCTGGGGAGTTGGACACGACCCACTGGGAAAGACGTTTATGTCGAGTCTGGAGGCTGTATAGCATTTATACAGGTGGGGCTGCCGAGGGAGGCGCTTTCTAGGCAGATGGATCAGCACAAGGGAAAACAGATGCTGTTGAGTGCAAATCACGTTCAGTGAAAAAGTAGGAATCTGACCTGCGTACATGAGGGGAAGCGTTGAGAGGATGGGGCCATTGACCCTGCACTTGGAGATAAAGGACCTGGATTTGAGTCCTGTGTCCCCCATTTACTAGATTTATAACCTCAGTCTCCCTGAGCTTCAAATTTTTTCATCTGTAAAACACAGATTATTACTCACACCTCACGATTATGAAAATTGAAAGTGAGTACCCTGTGTGAAATCTCCACCCAGCAAAACCTGATGTGCAATAAAAATCAAGCAAATGCTAACTGAACGTTAGGAGTTTAGGCTTCATTTTGTAGACTACGGGGAGCGAATGAGGTTTTTGAGCGTGAAGGTAAAAT